GCCTGCTTTGCCCAACAGGCTTCGGTTTGTGCCGTGATTTTTCCCCCGCTCCCCTCGAATTTGGACGCTTTATTTTTTGTTTTGTATTATTCAGTTTTAAGTTTGTGTTCTGCGTTCTTTCCCTCACTACTTTAATCTTCCTTCGATTCCCGTCAAGTTGATTCATCACTTTTGTTGCATTTGTGCCTTATTTGGTAAATCTGTTCGGCGTGTTTTATTTTACACTGTTTACAGTGGTGTTATTTCTTCGGCCCCTGTAGATTTTGAATGATAATGTTTTCCTTTGCATTGTTCTGTAATTTGGTGCGCGTGTTTCGCCACGCGGCCTCCAGTTCTGCGGGTTAACTCCCTTGTTCCAGTGTATTTGCTCCCTTGTGTTCCTAGTTGTGTTTCTATTCTTTTAGTTTATGTGTGGTATTCGTTCCTCGCCTTTTCTGCCGTCATTTCATGTGTCTTTCTTCCTGCGCTTCCATGGTAGTCTGAAAGGGTGTCTAATGCCCTAGTCGGATTACTGACGCTCAGGCTGCCATCCCTCGGGTGGGTTTTTCTCGCGTCTTCTCTGTGCCTTAGGTTCCTTTTTACCTTGGACCTTTATCGCCAGTTTATTTGCTTGTTTTCACTCAAGGGTTGGAAGCCTATTCGTGTTTTACCACGCAGTCCTTTTGGTATTCCCTGAAAGACCTCCTTGCCCAGCTCTCAACAAGTATCAGTTGTCTAGTTGTTTCACTATAGAGTGTTTTCACTCACGTGGCCAGCATCTATGCTAATTTATTGGAACAAAAGAAAGCGTTTGCATAATAAAAGAGTTCAACTCCCACAGGACTGGTTTGGGACACCAACATGCCCGCCGTTTCATTGTTTTAGGACACCAATATGGCCGCCGTGACGTCATGAGAAAACACTCTATATTCTGAGTTTATTGAGTACTTTTGTTCCACCCCTTCACCTTCAGTGTTGGAGAACTGGGTTTTTCTCTTCTTTGAGTTTTGGGACCCGGTTTTGAGTTTTGCAGTGTCTGGGTTCTTTAGGACGTATCTAACGTTCAACTTCTTGGCGCGGTTCCATTTCTCCTTCTCTTACTCCGGAGTGTGAAAGGGACTGTCGCGAATAGTATGCTATTTTCACATGGACCATGCACCTTGTTTAGCCCCCAAACTATGCAGAGCCATTGTCTTCAATTTCTCTTTGGACAACTGTAATATTCAGGAGAAACTGGAAACGTAATGCAAAATTTTCGGGGCTAAACAAGGTACATGATTTATGGTCTATGTGAAAACGGTGAATATAGTGACCTAAATGGCATTTCTAGTGTTTACACCATAAGAAAATTAACAGTTAAGTGAACTAATACTTACAAAACTGAAGTTGGGCCGATCCGTTTTCAAGTTTGCAGGAGTTACATCAGTTGGAAAATCTTTCAAATCCATTACTTGCCTTTTTGAGGACGATTTAATTTGATGTCTTTTTCATCATTCAAAGGTCATTTTGTGCAACTCTGGGTGAGTGTGCCTTCATTCTCCTAAAGCGTGCACAAAAACGCAGGAGAAGAGTCTTGATACTGGCCCTTAAATTGTCTCAAAAAAATCCAGCATGACTAAACGGGTCTAATAGCAATATTAAGTATGGGATTTCTCGGGAGTTGATACTTTGCAGAGAACACTTAGTGTTGGTTATTAAAACAAAGTCTGACTAAAAGAATAAGCTTTTAAAAATGTTTAGGCCCCACAATAGATAATAAATGATTTTCAAGTGTAGCCTGGAAGCCTTTGTAATGCTGTTATATTAACAGCAGACAATGTTTATAGATACGTACTCGCAGTAGAATACGATAGTTCTGTTATAGTTCCAATATTACTTTATTTAGGCCCGGTTCAGACGCTGATCTTTTCATGAACCGAACCTAATGCACTGAATTACGGACATGAAAAGTTCCGCGTTTGAATCAATTAGGAACGCCTATTTCAATTTGGAGCGGCTCTGCCGTTCTTCACGCCTAGCCCCTCTGGGAATTTCGACTGCGGAACGACTTTAGAACGGTGTTGATTCAGACGCCGAACTTTTTGTGTACCGAACTAGGAACCTAATGCATGAATTATAATAACGTATTTTCCAAGCAGTTTGACCAAAATGAGCACTTTTCTCCTTTTGAATTTAGTTCGGCAGGAATTAAGATCGGCGTCTGAATCAATTCAGGCGGTCTAAATGGTTTGTGTCGGTCTTAATTCGAATAAGGTTCGGCTCACCCTTAAAAGGTGACATGTTTCAAGTTGGTCATTTGTGTCCAGTTTCTGTAAAAGTTTTACTAAATCATGATTCAGTTAATTTTGACTGAGCTTTCGTGTGTTTAACAGAAAGCTACATGTACGTAAATGGAGTTAATATTTCTTATCTCTTAATTAGTGTCAGCCCTTTATGGGTTTATAAACAGATAGCTTTTTAACTTATATCCAGCGTTATTTCGAGTTATCAATATTGACCAAGCGTGAGTAGGTCAAATGGCTGGAAATTGTTAGAGTTCTCAATGTTTTAATGAAGCAATACAAAGTTTGTGATCAACAAGATATTTAATCTAAGTTAAAGTCTAGCTGGTTGTTTCGTTTGGTGTGTTTGAGAGAAATCCCTCACTTTACAAACCACAAACGAAACCACCACCCTGCTCACTGCGAACAAACTGCCAGCTGCAGTGCGGGCTACAAGTTCTTGGAAACTAAGTGTTTTGTTGCATGTTCTCCTTGGTTTTAATAGAAATGTTTTTTTTTTCTTTCTTAAATGAAATGAACCAAGGATAAAAATGATTTTCTACATAGCAATACAGAAGAATTTTAGTTATATTCTTCAACATTTACATTGTATCTTTATCATAACGAAACTGTTACATTGTAATAGCATTCGTATTTTTTAAAAAATCTGTGTTTTATTTACAATAAAATTAAATGTGTTACTGGTTAACTGTAAATGTTTTTTTTTACCCCGCGGGGTGATGTCTAAACTGGACTCAGGGGGAAGGGGTGAGGCAGTTGTCAGAGCACTCGTTCCCCATCAATGTGGCTTTGGTTTTGCCTAGGACCTAGGCCCTAGGTCGCATTCTTGCGCGCGGCCGATGAGTTTCCGGTCACGTGGTCCTAGCGAGTTCTTGAATTTTTTTCTCCCAGCCGTTCGGACAAGCTCACAAAAATGCATTGACCGAGAAGGCCTGGGAAGAAGCCGCACAGAGGTTCAGATCTTGGTACATCTATGTACGCCATACATGGGCCAGAGCTGGTTAATTTCTCGAACGCACCAATGAACGCGCTAAATAAATAAAAATCGCCCCCCTCGGGGAAGGTGACGCGTGGAACTATCTTTCCTTTCGCGCGTCACCTTTCTCGCGGGTGGCGAAGAAAACGATAGACCACTCGTAGTCAGATTGTTGACTCTAATTACTTTCTTTCTTTCTTTACGTTGTTTTTTTTTTACTGTAAAAAAAAAAACAAAAACAAACAAACAAACAAGCAAAAAACAAAGTTTAGTTCTGTGACTCCGTGGAGTTGAGCTTTCTCTGGAAGCAAAGCATTTAAGCAACGTATAATTTTAATTTTCACATTTTTGAGGAATGAACAGATTGCCTAGATAGTTCTGTAAGGTATTTTACGCGGTCATGAAGTGCTGAATCAACCCGCGGACTTAAATGGCGTTAACTGCGATGTACGGGCACTTGCAAATCTAGGAAGCCTTGGTATGGAATAGATCCCTGGAAGAAATCACCACTTCTACTGTAGTTGGATAAAACGTTAAAAATCATATGAAGTGAAGAGAATATCACCGACCGAAAAATTGGATTTACACAAATTTACTCGGTGCAAATATGGTGCAAAAAAGTGCAAAACTAGGAGTAAATCAATGGTAAATGCCACATTTGCTTGCCAGTTTACATGGCCAGTTGTAAATTTGAGGGCAAAAGCGGTATTTACCATCTTCGCCTTTTAGTTACCCTTATAGTTTGCACTTTTTTGCACCAAATTTGCACTGAGTGAATTTGACGTAAATCAAATTTTTCGTGCAGTGTTATTCCACGTGACAGTTGAAAACACTGAGATCTTTTACGTTTCATATCATCTGATCAAGTTTGAAAAAAGATTTTTGGAACCTTAAGCTTTAAAATCTTAAACTCGTCCAAAGTGATGTAGGCCGGTTCCGCTGAAAATCTGTTAATCGTTTAATATTGTTATGGTTCTTACTAATACAAAGCGCACGGACCATAAAAGAGTATGGTCTCGTCGATGGAAACAATTGGAAAGAAAATCGCGAGGTCAATTTTCAAAGTTGCTCTTATTTGCCCATGATTTCTTTAGTTCTTATATTTTATTTAAACTCAGGCTTTTCAATCAGCGAAACGAAAATTTTAAGGATTAGCAAATTTACAAAGTGCTTAATTATGAAATAATTTACAACAAGGTAAATAATTATATATCTGCAGAAGTATTTCAGTTCTTGACTGAAAGCTTATTCAATATACGGCGAACACTACACCGTGTTATGGGTCAACGAATTACTAAGTGAAAGGTCCAAATGGTTTTGGAATATTGCTTCATACTTTTCTCTTCAGTGCTTTTCTTCAAGGACAAACAACAACAATAAAAAATATCATAGAACCATAAAAAAATATCATACCATAACATCCTTTCAATCTCCGAAGTCGTGCTTAAGTTTAGGAAAGATTTAAAGCGCGCGATCTGTAATAGTGAGACCTTATCCACGATACCCCGCCATCTCGCACGCGCTTAACGATTGATTTGATAAAAACAATGTCACGTGGTATGTATTTTANATTCCACGTGACAGTTGAAAACACTGAGATCTTTTACGTTTCATATCATCTGATCAAGTTTGAAAAAAGATTTTTGGAACCTTAAGCTTTAAAATCTTAAACTCGTCCAAAGTGATGTAGGCCGGTTCCGCTGAAAATCTGTTAATCGTTTAATATTGTTATGGTTCTTACTAATACAAAGCGCACGGACCATAAAAGAGTATGGTCTCGTCGATGGAAACAATTGGAAAGAAAATCGCGAGGTCAATTTTCAAAGTTGCTCTTATTTGCCCATGATTTCTTTAGTTCTTATATTTTATTTAAACTCAGGCTTTTCAATCAGCGAAACGAAAATTTTAAGGATTAGCAAATTTACAAAGTGCTTAATTATGAAATAATTTACAACAAGGTAAATAATTATATATCTGCAGAAGTATTTCAGTTCTTGACTGAAAGCTTATTCAATATACGGCGAACACTACACCGTGTTATGGGTCAACGAATTACTAAGTGAAAGGTCCAAATGGTTTTGGAATATTGCTTCATACTTTTCTCTTCAGTGCTTTTCTTCAAGGACAAACAACAACAACAAAAAATATCATAGAACCATAAAAAAATATCATACCATAACATCCTTTCAATCTCCGAAGTCGTGCTTAAGTTTAGGAAAGATTTAAAGCGCGCGATCTGTAATACTGAGACCTTATCCACGATACCCTGCCATCTCGCAAGCGCTTAACGATTGATTTGATAAAAACAATGTCACGTGGTATGTATTTTAGTTCAAATCAACCTTTGTTCAAATCAAAGACAAAATTTGTCAATACGGATGAGTACCGTCGTCTCTCAAGTTTCTAGGAATCTTTTAATGTTCCGGGCCCGCTGTAATTGGCCACAGCTGTTGCGGTGTCCTTGCCAACTTTCTTTCTGTTTGTTTGTCTGTTCTTTTTTTTTGTTGGCGAAGCTAATAATAAAAAAAACAAAGTTGTCAAAGGTTTGGAATATCATATTTGAAAATTTACATGAATGTGCAGGTGCTTTAAGAATTCGGTGCCTAAAAAGAGGGAGAATGTCACGCCATTCAAACTAGATCAAAATAAAAATCCAAACCGTTCAATAGATAAAGTCCAAAATCTGCGAAATGAAAGGGGGTATAAATATGAAAAGACTCTCGCCAAATTCAGGCCAGTGTAATTTTTCATATACGAGATATCCAGGGAAATGTTTTACTAAATATATAGAGTTTTGTATGAAGACACCATGTTGGTGCCCATCCGGAAATCAATGCTCGAACGTCTGTTACTGAGTTTAGAACGAAAGCGTGAATTTATCGAGAAACTCATAAACATGAATAAAAGTAATACATTTCCTAATACATGAACTGTTCAGATAGCAAAATTACCCCGAAATAAGTCTTTTTTTAAACCTACATGACGGCTCTCTCGGTCGTCGTGTAAATTCCGCGTCACGCAAAAATTAGAAACCCAAGTGTATTCTATCACAAAACAAAGAATTGAACCCTTTCGTCGCGAAAATTTGTATGAATATTAGTTTCCAGCTGCTGTTACATTTCATGAAAGTAAAATCTCAGTAGGATCGATAGTTTTGCATTTTGAACTTTTGGTGACTTAATGTGAAAACCATGCAACTTTCTGATATTGGTCTGGCTTGACTACTCTAACCGCTAATTATCGCAATTAGTTACACCTCATATTTTACTCTTTTGTTTGGCACTGAACCCTAACTTAAAATTCGTTTGCTTTCTTTTAATGACTAATTAGTGAGCAAGAATTCACTGCCTTTTTTCCTGTTTATCATTACTCCTTTGTTAGCGAATTACTGTCGATCACAGGTTCACAACATAGTACACCATTTTACGTACAGGTATGTCTGCGATAATAACAGCCGTATTTAAGGCCACTGTTGGTTTGGTCGTAAATAAAGGCAGAAATGTAATGGCAGACAAGCTAAAAGAGGGTGATGTAGCAGATCAGAAAGTTCGTGACATGATCATCGGTGATATGGAAGACGTCAAGTCAAAGTTAAATGCATTGTCACGAAAGGATCTTGGGGCAGCTGTAGATTCTTTGGAAACAGGACTCAGGTTTTTGAATAACGCAGTCCATGCAATGTACAATGACAATCCTTCTTGGGAAGGAGCGAAGGAACCAGAAGGAGACAAAGAAGATGGTTTTCACGGATTAACTTTGCCATCAGCCAGTTATTCTGAAACCACAGTTATTTTAGATGCGGGAACCAAAAATGTCCAGCTGACGGAGTCTGTCAACGAAGTAGCGAAAAGTACGCTCTCTGCTGCAAAAGAGAGATTTAAATTGGCTCGTGAAAAAGCGACAGATGCCTGTAATAATGAAGCGCTCAGCACGTTCGATCGAATCACAGCCATTCGATATCGTGTAATGGCAGCAATGTTAGAGTCAGCTGCTGAGACCGTAGGAACCGCCGGTGACTTAAAAATCACTTTGAAGAGTGCATTACCTGAGTGCGAACAGTGCCTTCAGAAACTCCACTCCCTTCCAGCTGTTCAGAAAAGTTTTAAAGTCGAGCTTGAGAAGGGTCGACTAAACGTCAGAAGTCGATTTGGCAAAGAGGAACGAAGGGAGATAATTTCCACGGTATGTCATGTAAATCGCGCCATTTACGATGCGACACTAACAGTTTATGGTGGAGATGTACATGTCTGGGTCTGGCCATATGTTGACACCGGAGAAGATAAAGTTGATCCTCTGCGCGATGGAAGAATTAGAAACGTCGTTCGCAAGGTTAATATGGAGCAATGTTGCGTCACACCATGGTCATTTGGTCAGGAGGGTGAAGAGGAGCATAAACTGAAGCGTCCGTATGGTATTGCTACAAACACCAAGGGACAGTTTCTTGTAGCAGACAATGGAGATAAAACCGTCAAGGTGTTTGATAGCAAAGGAAAATTTTATTTCAGTTTTTATCCCCAAACTGATGATGCTGATACAAAGTTAATGTTTATTTATGACATCGCGACTGGAGACGTGGATGACAAGATCTGTCTTCTAGTGGAACTGAACAAGGATGGGGTTGAGAAATGGGAAGTGCAAGTTTTTAACGAGACCCGTGACCTACAGCACAAGTTTCCTGTAAAAAGAGGGAAGTGGGACTGGGGCAGAGTAGTATTGAGCAGCAGTAAAGTGCTGGTGTTGGTTGATGACGTCGTTGATGTTCATGAGCGGGAAGGAAAGTTTGTTTGCAGCTTTGCCAAAGGAGATTTCAAAATTGCAACAGATATCACTGCTACTTGTGATGGTCATGTCATGATAGTGGGGCCAGGCGAATCCTCTCACTTTACTGTGGAAGGACAACAGCTTGCCAACTTTGATATCAACATCGAGGGAAATCTGTATTATTGCATTGCATGCCACCCGAAAGGTGAACACGTCGTCGTTGCTGGTCGTGAACGAGACACACGCCACCTGACGCTGGCTATATACACTGTAACTGGATTATTTATAAGACGAATTCACCTGGATGAAGAACTTGATATCATTGGAGGTGGAATAACAGTGACCATGGAGGGTCACATTGCTGTGACTTTTACAGATAGGCATTACAATGGAAAAGTTATTGTGGTTTAAAACTGAAATTACATAGACACTCTCATCGATCTGTATAATTTTTCAGACGAAAGGCGAATTCAATAATGTTTTGTTATTCATTTAAAATAATTCTTACTTTAAAAATATATGCTTCATTACCTTGATCGCCTTTCCTCTTTCTCGCCAAATTCTAGATATAAAATGATGCTTTTATTATAATCGTTTTATTATCGTGCAAAGCCCACAGAGCTTATCTATATATGCGCTTTTATTTTATATTTTTTATTTAAATATTAATGAAAATAACAACAATAACAATAACAATAGTAATAATAACTCCATTTTTCTTGAATGACATCATCGACATAAGGTTGCTGCTCATTATAATTTAAGAACCCAAAGCTGTACTTTTTCTGCACATTTCTACATCAGCGAGGTAGACGTTTCGATAGTTTTTCAAACAACATGATGGAATTAAACTATTAATGGAAAAATCGACGTAGACTTTTGTTGGCTGAGGACGTGCAATTTTGATTGAAATGTTTTATTTAGAGCCCAAAAAGGTACCAGGAATTTCAAGAACGAGCCCGGAAACGTGAGGATAAAAAAAAAAAAGACGAAGAAGAAGAAGAAAAAGAAAAGGACACTACTCCTAAAATTATGAAATGATTTAAAACTGAATACCGAATAGGAGGGACGTAAAGCTGGCAACTGGTGACAAACAAACCAGCAGACATATGCCAAATATTCAACCCGTAAATATCTTATAACTGTGTCAGTTAAAAGCTACAACTGACCTTTGAAAACCAAATTGTGCTCATAAAAGTTGTCATAAAAGGTTGGTTCGTTAGAGCGATTCCCTCGTTTTGCGCTGTGCATCTCTCCCAGCGCATTATAGGGTGCGACTTGGTTTGCTTTACAGTGATTTAAAGCTATCTGTCTATCCGTAAACAGCAGTGCAGTATATTGGTTACAACCCCTAGATCGTCACTACCTATTACCTGCCGAGTTCTTCAGGGATCCATCTTAGGCCCCTCGTTATTCTTGACATATATTAATGGACAACATGCATATAATGCGTCTAAGATTTAGAATTGATATTTTTTTCCCGCTGACATAGAGGATATTACATGGCCGCTTGGAGATACGAAATTTGTCTTCGAGTGTTTATTATATAAACACCAATGAACTACCAAACCATTTCACTTTAATAGTTTTTTGGTGTGAAAGGCGCGATCTATTATGTAGCCATAGCAACGGTGATATTTTCACACGTGAAGATAACATGTTATTTTCACACGTGAAGATATCAAGTTTTCGCCCGAAAGCTCACCTGGTATTTCATTGGTGTTTATATAATAAACTAATGTCTTCTATTGGCATGCTGCTGTATCCTATTTCACATCGACTATTGTGAATTTAGAACAGAAAAATAAACTTATTTTGTTACATTCAATTCGATACAAAACAGATAAAGACTTAAGCTTTTTTTTAGTAGAAATTACTCCTGTTGAGGAAACTTTTTTTATAAGTGGAATTTTAGATAAGTACAGGTAATAGCATGATTTGTAGTGATACTTGGCATAAATACCACGACTGATATTTCGAAATTGAAATTTGAGGCAATTTTGAAATATCACGAGTGGTATTTATGCCAAATATCACGTACAAATCATGCTATTATTTGTTTATACTCATACCCGCAAAGGTTTTTTAATTTTCACATGTAGGTATCTCAAATTAAGCTGAAAT